ATAATTCGACTTTTTTTTCAGTTTATTTGTATTATAATAAAATTTTTGTATTGGGAATTTTGAGTATTGCACAATTTTTTATAGTTTCGTCAAAGATTTTTACAATAACCTGTATATATAAACTCTGGTCTAAATTTCAGTCTAGACTTCAGTTTCAAATCAGTCTACAAACTGATCCAGTTCGATTTTACCTTCAAACTGATAAAAATCGGACTGAAACTGAACTGGTCGAACTGTTAACATCCCTAATTCTAGCTAAAAACAGGTCTCGTACGTTCTAAACCTCAGATTGCATAATATGATCTTTATCGTGTTATCATGATTGATTAAAAAAATAAATGCGCAGTACTATTAATTTTTCTTACTACGCCGTTGTATTATTTTTTTTGAGTCTGAGTTTGTTTAAAAGAAACTGAAGTATCGTAGTTTGAAAGAAGCGTTAACGAATAATTATTTAAGTGAAATATACTTCTTTTTGGTGTGAATTAACAAGAAAATGACTTCAGAACTTTCAAGTGAATGTAATTTCTACTAGCATCACAGAATACAAACAACATAAATTTTGGAGGAGCTTTACTATAACTGAAAGTACATTTTTGTTTTATCAATGATTGGAGTGAGATAATGTGTATTAGTAATGTATGCAAGTGAAAAATGCAGGCATTAGCATAAAAACTTTATTTCACTTTGTAAAACAAATTTATGTATTACTGAATCTTGTAATTTATTTTTTATATCAATAAATCAATAATTCTGATTGTAACATTTTGTCCCAGTTTTTTTTTATCTATACTAACGAACTTTTGAATTATTCTATTTTATATAAAAAATTATTATCGAACATGCAATCCATTGATTCATTGAGAGAATTAAATTCTAAGCTCTTAGCTGAGATTACTGAGCTTAGAAAGAAGAACAATAAGATTCCTGTACTTGAAAAGGAATTTGTTAAAGTTGAGACTGAGAATGCGAGATTGAAGCAAATTATTGAAGAGAATGCAAGACGTGATGCTGAGAATGCTGAACTCAAGTCTAAGTTGAAGAGCTTGAGGCTAGACTTGCATTATTAGAACAAGGTTCAACAGTAGATGAGATAGTGTTATCATTTGACCAGACACAAAATGATGAAGAAGCGATGCGAGTGATAATGGTACTAACTGTTGATAAACCTGATTCTGTAATAGACTAACTTAATAATGAAGTAGGATTAGTACCTAGTGACCTTAATAGTGAAACTGGCAAAAATTGATAAACCTGTCAAATATAACATATATATCAAATCTGCCAAATCTGCCAAATAGGATATGAATATCATTTATTATATTTTTATTATATCTATCATTATTATCATTTATATCATAATTAACATATCTGTTAGCTCTATTATTATTGTCAGTAGTAATATAAATATCATAGATTTTCTTTAATTGTAATTTTCTTATATAAAGGACATGAAAATGCCTTGGAAAAAGACAGATTTTAACAAGTTCTTAACATTGTATTGAATATACATTTAACAATAATAAATACTCTTAACAATTTGCAAATATAAAACTTATAATTTATTCTTGTTAACTAAATAAACTCTCTAATAAATAGTGTGTCAAGTTAATTGGATTTAAGTCATAGCTATTGTCTCCCTGACTTCAAATCATAGTTAACTTTTTTGACGGAAAGAGTAACATTAACAAGTGGTGATTCCTGTTAGGTTACTATTGACTTTATACATAACAGACCACTAACAGATTTAGCAAGGCGTATAAAAATTTGAGTTAAGAGAGTTGAGAAACAAAGATAATTTTATACATAACGGACTGCTAACAGATTTAGCGAGATGTATAAAAGTTTGAATTAAGAGAATTGAGAAACAGAGATAATTTCATATATAACGAATCGCTGACGAAATAGCGAGGTATATGAATTTTGAAGTAATTGAAAGAAATTTGAAAACAGAATTGATTTTAGATTGCTAACAAATTTAGCAAAGTATATAAAATTTGAAGAAATTGAGCAACAAACCGCTCTTTCTAAAGAAAAGTAAATTGAGTGACGTATTATTCTACTAAAAAGAATTAAGCAGACGAACTTGCAAGTTAAAGTATAATCTGTAACATTTATTTTGAAATATTTTGAATTATTTAAAGCAATTTAATCAAGTTAAAACACAAATTATTAATTAAAATATAAATTAAAAACAAATCACGTGATATATAATGCAATATAGCATGGCAGACATTTGTATGATTGGTCGATTTTTATATCGATCATTTTCTAATTGTTATTGAAATGATTAATTTTGATTGGTTCAATTTTATTATTAAATTTAATATGATTTTAAACGCGAACTA